CACTTTAACTCCTGTACTTAAAAAGCTTGAGATTATATACTTAACACTAAATATCAAGTTTACAAGGTTAGCATGCTTAGTCATATCCTAGATGACCAAAAAATCTAGCTTGGCCTCCGTAATGAAAACAAAGAATTTTTGGTTATGCACATTTACAAAACAATCATGGAAGAACATGGGAAAGAATGGAAGCGTCCATCCTTGGCTCTCTTCTAACAGCTTGCGTCATCACATTGCGGATGATGCCTTGAACGTCCGGGCATGTTCTTGCATAGAAGTTTGGCGAAAGCTGCGCGTTCGCAAGGCACGCGAAGAGGGATACGATGATGACTGTGGCAATGAGGAACTGGCTATTGCAAGCCATTTGGGAATGGAGGGAGGGAGGGAGGGAGAGAGATATCGATTAGGACTTTTTTTTTTCTTGACTATGGATTAGGACTTTCTTATTTTTGCTTGAATATGGATTAGGACTTGTGATTGTGAAAGTGAGCTCTCTAACTTTGCTTTGAACTCGGAAAAAATTGTCCAAAAAGTCCTAAATCTATTGCATTTTTACCAATTCTATACCTTTCCATTTTGCCAATTGAGTTCTCAATTTTTCACTTTTTGCCAATTGAGTCAATTCTACCAATTTAGGCCGGAAATCTCTGACGTGGCATCGCCGACGCTGACTTGGATAATTTTTAATAATATATATTTTTTTCAAATTATATATTTATTTATTTTCCTTTTTTTTCTTTCTCTTTCTGCCCTTCTCCCCTTTGGCCGGCGAGGGCGAAGCTCGCCCCCGAGGTGAGCCTCGCCCAACCAAGGTGAGGCCGACTGTGCCGTCATTGGGCAAGGGAGAGCCTAGCGATGGAGAGGTCAGCCTCGCCATGGCTGGGTGAGGCTCGACCCCACCAAATCTAGGCGAGGCTCGCCCTCGCCAGTGGCCGACGGGGGCAAGCTTTGCTAGAGGTCGGCAAGACTTGTCGGCTAAAGGGGAGAAGGGCAGAAAAATAAAAAAAAATTGAAAAATATTATTAAAAATTATTCACGTCAACACCGATAATGCCACGTAAAACGGCCGGTGTCTATGTCAGCGATCTCTAGCCGAAATTGGCCAGATGGATTCAATTGGTAAAAAATGAAAATGTTTGTGACTCAATTGGCAAAATTGAAAAGTCTATGACTGATTGGTAAAAGTGCAATATGTTTAGGACTTTTTGGACAAATTTTCCTTTGAACTTGTGACTACAAGCTTGGGGTTGCTCTGCATATAATAGAGAAATAGTAGGTAAATGCATGTGGCTAAGAGAAAGGGATATTCAAAATTTGCTTCTATACGCGTTTACATGAATTCTCAGAGTTTGCTTTGACGAGAACAGCGAGATATCAATATTCTTTTGGGGTAGCAAATAAAGGCGAGGCCAGCTTCTGTCGAGATGCATGCAAAGGAACAAAATAAGGTTTCACAACGTCTTTGAAAGCATGCAATTTAAAAGAGATAAAAGAGCCATCTCTTTTTCACCTTTTTCTAGATGTTCATCGTGAATGCCTCCAAAAAGCATGCGCTGCGACGGACAGATTGGAGCTTCTTTTTAACTTCGTAGTTATTTTCGCAAATGATCCGGGAGTTTTCATAAATCCCGCAACTTTTAGGGTTGCAGATCTCTCACAAAGTGATGGATTCTTCAAAGTGAGCTGTGCCTGAAAGGCCGCGTTTGGTAGCTTACGCAGGACAAAAATTATCATATGCTTCATTTGAACTTGACGATGCACTTCAGGATAAAATGTCCGATAACTCATCACGATGGTATAATAGCTGTAGAGCAAGCAATGCGTGTACCGAGATTTTATCAGAATGCAGAAAATGAATATTGAAAAAAGAAGTGCCGGAGAGAGAAAAGAGAGCTAGGGGAAGAGAGAGAGAGAGAGAGGTGCTGGCCATTGCCATGGCGGTCGTTGTTCTCAGGTGTTGCTGGCAATCTCCACGTACAAGGGCGATGTTGGCGATGGCCATGAGATGATCGTTACTCTCGACCGGACTCGCATGCTCGATCTATCTCTTCCCCTTTTTGTGTGCGGTGTTGTTTCCAATCTACCACCGTGGTCTTGAGAACCAACGCAACGTAGGCGGCCAATGTATTTTCTCAGGTGTCGGTTTTTCTCTAAGAGAATGTTTTATGGAACATGTTTTGGACTTATTTCCTTATGACTCAAAACTCTTAAGGAAAATGGTGCTCTTCATATTCGCTTTTCCATTATTTGTGGTATCCCAATCTTTGTTAGCACACGTAGGTCTCGAACATTCTTTCGTAACGTATATGTCGAGCTTCCACGCTTCAAACTTTCGTCATTCGTAAGGCCCATGTTCGATTGGAGATGGTGGATTAAAACCATGGATATCATTTCCTATTTATATAATTTAATTTTGCATGTGGATGATGTTCACAACTTATAACCCATTAATCAGATGAGTGGCTGAAGGAAAATATAACCCTAATATATTAGCACTCGGAAAATAGAATGAAATCGGACCCATTATCGTCGGATTTAGAAGGCTCAAATCAATTTTGAATGCTCTACTTACTCCCATTTATGAGTTTGTTAGACGCTGCGAGTCTCAATCATTCTTTCACTCGCGCATTCCTGATAGCTAGATAGATTTTAAAAAGGATCTTTATGCAGAACCATGATTCCTTTAAATTAGCATTGAATATCAAGAAATCAAAGATATTAAGCTAAAGAGAGATGTCAAAACAAGCTTAGGCGTCTTTCTAGGCTAGGGAAAAGTGCCAAAAAAGTCCTAAACCTTTTGCATTAGTGCCAATTTAGTCCTAAACCTTTTTTTGGTGCCAATTCAGTCCTAAACCTTTTGCATTGGTGCCAATTTAGTCCTAAACCTTTTTTTGGTGCCAATTAAGTCTTAAACCTTTTAAATTGGTGCCAATTCAGTCCTAAACCTTTTATTTTTGTGCCAATTTAGTCATTCCGATCAATTTTGACCGGAATTTGCGGCGTGGGCCTTTGCCGGCCGGCGCGTCATGCGCCGACGTGGCGCTGACGTGGACAAATTTAATAATATTTTAATATTTTTTTGAATTTTTATTTTTTTTCTTTTTTTTTCTTTTTTTTTTCCACTTTTTTTTTTTTGGTTTCTTCTTCATCTGGCCGGCGAGCTCGACCTCGCCGGCCACTGGGGAGGGCGGCCTCGCCCTCGCCGGGAGCCGCGGCGAGGGCGAGCCTCGCCCGACCATGGCGAGGCCCGACCTCGCCGGAGGCCGCGGCGAGGGCGAGCCTCGCCCGACCAAGGCAAGGCTTGAGCCCTCGCCGGAGGCCGCGGCGAGGGCTCGAGCCTTGCCTTGGTCGGCGAGGCCCGACCTCGCCGGATCCGGCGAGGTCGACGCCGACCTCGCCGGATCCGGCGAGGTCGGGCCTCGCCCTCGCCGCGGCCTCCGGCGAGGGCTCGAGCCTCGCCCGACCAAGGCGAGGCTCGCCTCGCCGGCCTCGGCCTCGGCCGGTCTGGACCGGCGACCGCCGAGTAAGGAGGAAGACAACCAAAAAAAAAGTGGAAAAAAAAAAAAAAAAAGGAAAAAAGAAAAATTCAAAAAATATTAAAAAATATTTAAGTTGTCCACGTCGGCGCACGTCGGCGCCGGTGATGCGACCGGCCGGCAAGGCTCCACGTAGGCAAATTCCGGTCTAAATTGGCCGGAAGGACTAAATTGGCACAAAAACAAAAGGTTTAGGACTGAATTGGCACCAATTTAAAAGGTTTAGGACTTAATTGGCACCAAAAAAAGGTTTAGGACTAAATTGGCACCAATGCAAAAGGTTTAGGACTGAATTGGCACCAAAAAAAGGTTTAGGACTAAATTGGCACTAATGCAAAAGGTTTAGGATTTTTTTGGCACTTTTCCCTTCTAGGCTAACAAGGGCTTTACCGACGAATGTCTCTTGACACTCATTAAGCATACTTGATATGGAATGTTTCGACTTATAAAAAGTTGCATGAGAAAAACAGTGCATTGAAAATCACAAACTTTCTTCAAATGGCTCCTTAACAAGTATCACAGGGGTGGTTTTTTTTTTTTTTATAATCAAAACCCATATGATCAAAGTCGTCAAACGATATACAACAAAATCCGCAAATACATAACCCGGAAAATCGAAAACAACTTCGAAATAATGGTGTTGTCTCCCTCGTTGATATGATTCCACATCGTACTCGTGGACACTTTCAGTGTGTAGCATTTTCAAAGCATGCATTAAGTGGGAAGTTGACTTTGGTCCCGTAAGATGCCGACGAGCTGTAGCTTACTCTGGATTTGGTCTAACATTATTGAACATTGATAAAAACATATAACAAAAGCCCTAGAGCTTCCCTTAGCAATTCGTTTGTTCTACCAACTCCACTGTAGACTCGGCTCGAGGAAAATTCAAGCAGATAAAATGTTTATTTTTTCCTTTTTTCAGTATTTTAAATTTTGAGGTTTCGTTTGTTTTGGTCGAAATTTCTTGGAATTTGCAAAAAGTTAGAGAAGTTAGATTTGGAAAGTCAGATGAATATGGAAGAGCGTATGACCAGTGAACAACGTGCATGTATGTTTGACCTGAATAAAAGTCTAAGACTTCGTTTCGTTAGAGATTCCGGGGGGAGATTATTCATTTCTTTTTTCCTCAAATTAAAATAAATAAAATCAAATATTAATAATTATCTATATCAACAATGATGAAGGGTTCGTATCCCCGCTCGGTTCTGTAATTTAAGTGGAGGGCCCTGGCGGTGGGTTGCTGGGCTAGTCTCCCCCGAGGTATAGGTGCCCCGATTACCTGTGCGGGCTCGTCCCCGGGGAATGGTGGTGGATTCTCGGTTACCAAAAAAAAAAAAAAACAATGATGAGGATAACCTATGTAACAAATGGGTCAGCAAGCTGTCTATCTTACAAAAAATTCCAAAGGATATGTTCCGATTTGTGAGTATTAGACCAAATAACATTGAGTAGGGAAAACAACACTTGGATTTGATGTCTGAATACATATATTCAGAAACAAAGCAATACAACTTGTCAACTTCTTGACCAAACCCTTCACAAGCATGATTCTTATTGAAAACAGGAAAAGAAATATGCAGAGGAGATAGACATACATTAAACATTCATAACACTTAGCAAAATCCAGCTTACTTAATTTTGTTTGTTTGTTTGGTGCATTCAACATTAGTTCACCACCCTACAATTCCTTCTGATCTCTCCCTTTGTTCCGGTGAGCGGGCTGATATTACCCATCTTCACCATCGCAGCCGCAAAATCACTTGTAAAAGCCCTATAGTTATTGCTGTAAGTCCTGACGAGCGCGTCCTGCGATCCTCCATTGAACAGTTCTTGATCCGAATGGAGGAGCCCACGCCGTGCCACAAGGTTCTGGTAGTAGTTGTTGTCGAACCGGTTCGGGGTTTGGTCGAGGGGCGCGAGGTTGGTGTCGCCTCCAGAGGCGGGACAGTTAGTCCTCCGGGTGGTAGCGAAGCTAGCGTCGATGTTGGTGTCGTTGTAGATGCGGGTCCGGAAGGAGCTACACCGGGCCAGGCCAATGGCATGGCCCCCTGACAAGGCGGTCATATCACGGGCATTGAGTCCTTGGGCGGCGAAGGAGGAGATGAGGGCAGCGAGGCTGGAGAAAGGCGACGGGATTTGGCTGTTGGCACCGCTTAGACCGGCGGTCCTTGCATCTCGCCGCCCTAGAGGCACCGTCCATGATGGTCCTCCCAACTGTAAAGTTAAGCAATGCATCACTTTAAAAGTTAGTAATTACAATTTATGCACATACCACGATCGGTCTCCATATAAATGTTATGTATGAAAATCATGCGTAAAAAAAAAAAAGGTTATTCACGATTAGGATATATGAGATACTCACCAAGACAACGCCGTCTCGAGCAGCGAGTGCAAGGATGTCCGCGCAAGAAACAGTAGCATTGCAGGCAGTTTCAACGCGGGACTTAATGGTGTCAATGACTTCGAATCCCCTAAGAGAGTTTTGGTTTGGCCGAGCAGTTTTTTCTCCGGTAAAGGTGACCGTGTCATCCAAAAGAACCGATGCGTCACATCCCTACGCGAGTGAAGAAGTCCGACATATTTAAAAAAATTGTATCGAAAGAGAAGGTCACAATTTGCATTTTATGGCTTAATTAACATTTCATCTTTTTTTCATCTTTGATTAGTGATGGATTGAATACATGTGGAAGAAATCGTCTTAGGTCAGATGCAAGTCTACTCTAAGATCTGGCTACGATAATTTAGTTATTATATATTATTAATAAGCAATCAAACTAGAAAATTGCCTTGTATTATTTTTTATAGCGCTTAGAAACATGTCTCATTTTTTTTCCTTATCTATGATTCGTTTAAATTATCCAATAGAACAAATTTAGAGAATGGCTTTCTAATTCGAATTTAATAACAAAAGAAATATAATCTCATTGCGTGCTCTTTGGTTTCCAAAATCCAAGTCAATCTCATGCAAATTTAAAAATGGGAGATTAACCAAATCTATAGTGTGACAATACTTCTTTGGTTTATAGTGTACGTAAAATTCATGTTCTTTCCCTACCTAGCCAACTCTATCGAGAAGTTCAGACGAAAAAAAAAATTATTGAGACGTTAAAAATAGGGACAACCACGGTATTTTCGGGTCATTATAGGTCCAACCTTTGGTTCCCATATATTAAAAGTCCAAAAAATTACTAAATGATAGAATGTCCACCTAAAACTTTAAGCAATTAGATTGAGCGAGACTATAATTTTATAAGGCACATTATAACCATGTATTTTAACAATATGGATTACACTTAACCCTAAATTTCAACTTTACTAGGTTAACATGCCTAAGTATATCCTAGATGACCAGAAAATCCAGTTTAGCCTCCGATAAAAAAATGCATCTAAAAATGTTGTTTGAAGAACCAACACTTAGAAATGAAAGGAAGGAAATTTGGTTACCCACGTTTACGAAACAATCGTGGAAGAACATGCGAAGTATCGAAGCGCCCATTCTTGCCTCTCTTCGAACGGCTTGCGTCATCGCATTGCGAACGATGCCCTGAACATTCGGGCATGTTCTTCCGTAGAAGTTCGGTGAAAGCTGGGCATTCGCAGGGCACACGAGAAGGGATACAATAGTGACGGCGACAGTAAGGAAGCTGATATTAGAGGCCATTTGGGGAGACAGAGAGAGAGATAAATTTGGACTCGTGACTGTGAAAGCGAGCTCTCTAACTTTGCTTAGAACTTGTGAGTACAAGCCGTGGGTTTGCTCTGTATATATAGAGAAACTGGTGAGTCTAGTTTCGTGCATTTGGGCTATGAGAGAAATATTCAAAATTTGCTGCTATGCGCGTTTACATGAACTTTAAGAGTTTACTTTGAAGTTTTCGAGGAGAACAGCTAGGTATTTTTGAGAGAGAAAGAGAGGGAGAATCTAAGCCCTTTTTTTTTTTCCGATCAGGCGAGAGAAATCAATATTGGCTGACTTCTGTCAAGATCCACGCAAAGGAACAAAACGAGGTTCACAGCGTCTTCGTAGCTATCTGCCAAGGTACCTTTTGGGGTTTAAGATGTTGGGGGTGTGATTCATAATCCCCGTCAATAAGAAATCACGAAGGTTCTGCTTCGGCGGGAGTCGTTGCCCCAGCGGTAGCAGAGAACTTTTATAGTTTGAGCCCGTATTTTATTGTTAGCTTGAATTTGGGTCTATGAATGGCTACTGTACCGTCTATATATAATCTCTTTCTCTTGTAATTGAAAATTGTAATAAAAATGTGGGAAGCGCTAATTATAGTGAAATCATCTCCTCGATGTAACCCTAGTTGAAGGGTGAATCAAGATAAAATCTTATGTCTCAATTTTTCTTTTTTTACCTTTAATCTCTATTTCGTTGTGTTTGTATGCCTAATTCTAACGTAAAACTCTTCATAAAGTGGTGGATTCAAAGAGAGCTATGCCTTAAAGGCCGTGCTTGGTAGCTTGGATCGGACAAAAATGATTATATACAGTATTTTTTGATGTTCTTCGGACAGAATAACTCATCCGACTACTATGGTAAATAGCTTTTATAGAAATACTACGTGTACTAAAAATTTAAAAATTTAAGTACTATGTGGAATGACAAATCTAAGAACAAGTGCGGTTGGAGAGAGAAGAGGGTTAAGGGAAGAGAAACAGAGAGTAGTGCTGGCCACCAAGAACGGCGCTTCATGTTGCTGTGGTGGCTGGCACTCTCGCATGGTCATCGTTATCGGACTTTTATGTCTTGGCAACTAAACGTAGCTTAAAATGGATTCTTAGAAAGAAGAAGAAAAATCCAATGCACCGCCAGTGTCGCTTCAAACGACTTTATCCATGGTTATATACGGACATAATCAAATGGCCATATTGTTGACCAATCATTTTGCTTTACGACAGCCGCGTTGGAAGGCTTGGAGCATTTGACTTTATGTTACCATGTTTGGGGTAAACGTATTACAATGGGTATAATTTAGAAATTTTGGTCATTTTTTCCCTTACAAAGTCCATTTGATAAAAAGCCATGAGATGGTATACAATAAAATCCACCAATTGATAGAAACAACTTCAATCCCCATATGATGCGGTCTCCCTCAATAATTTGATCCCATATCGTACTCGGGAGACCATTTCAATGTATCATTTTCAAAGCATGCATTAAGTGGGAAGTTGATCTCGTGAGATGCCGACAAGCTATAGCTTACTCTGGATTTTTGGTGTAACATTATTGAATATTCATAAAAACATATAAGAAAAGCCCCAGAGGTTCCCTTAGCAATTCGTTTGTTCTACCAACTCCACCGTCGACTCGTCTCGAGGAAAATTCAAAGCAGGAAAATGTTTTTTCCCCCTTTTTAGTATTTAAATTTCGAGTTTTCGTTTGTTTTGGTCAAAATTTCTTGGAATTAGCAAGAAGTTAGATTTGGAAAGTCATACGAATATGGAAGAAGGCATGACCGGTGAACAGTGTGTATGTGTGCTTGACCTGAACAAAAGTCTAAAAGAGTTTGGTTAGAGATTCCGGGGAAGACTATTAATTTCTTTTTTCCTCGAATTAAATAAGTAATAAATAAATAAATATTCATTTATTTGAAATTTGGGGACTAAAAGTCGTCCCACTCTAGTGGTGAACACCTTCATCCTCGATATCTCCACAATGTTAAGTACACATCTCTACCATTATCCAAAAATAAAAAATGTACAGAGATTTCTAGTTGACTTGAACTTGTTTTTGTCTTCTCCACCGTATTTGAAAATTAGTGTGGAATTATTTGAGATTAGGTCACTAATCAAGGTCAAATTATTTGAGATTAACTCGCTTGATTTGCTCTTAATTTCGTGGATGAGGGGACGTGTGTGCTATTGAACGAGTATTTCAATTGTATGATAAATTTTCACCGGAGGCCAGCAACCCCCGCTTGCTGTCCCCCACACTCACCGGCCCCTCCCGACGATTGTGGGGGCTTGCAACCCTCCCCGCCTGACTTCTCCTCCTCTCTTTTTTTTAATACTTAGATTATTTTTAAAATTGAATTTAAATAAAATTTGTGTCAAAGTAATAATAAAAAAAGCCACGTCATCGCCATGTAGGATAAACAATAATAAAAATGCCACATCAGCTAAATTGGATGGAGTTAACTTTAGGGTTTGATAGATCCAATTTGATAAGTTTTAGGACTTGATTGCACTTTTTGCAAGTTTTAGAAGTCAAATGCACTTTCGTGACAAGTTTTAGAACTTCCGGTGAACATATCCCTAAAATATTCGATATCGTGTCATACTGCAAATTGCCATCTGTTCATATTCTTCAAAGTTAACTTATGGTGAATGGTATATACGGCTCTTTTTTCGCATCAACACATACTCTTAAATTAACTTTCGATCGTCTAGTTTGCAACACCACTGAATCGTGCTTGCATATCATGTCGTGTCAGAGATTGAGATTCTTTTGCACATCGTAAAACTTTGATTGTGCGAAGGCATACTCGTGACAAACCCAACATCGATTCATTCTAAAGGTTATCTTTTCTTTTGTATTTGTATCTCATAATCTAAATTCGGATAATTGAGACCAAACTCATTTTATCACAATTGAAATTCAAAAGAAATGTACTTCCCTCCTAGCCAAGCAAATAATTAAAAAGGCATTATTTATTACCTGTGATATGAAACCACAAAGGCATTACACAACCCAATTGCCTTCATTCTTTATAAAAAAAAAGGAAAATTTCCAAACTTTAGTGCAATGGATAGGTCTTCTTACAACCTTGAGAGCATGAATCCTCACAAGCTTTAACCTTCTTCACGTCCACTCCAACCTTCTCGGTGCCTATATGAGTTCATATATGAAACAAGAAATTTAAAAAGTCACTCCCATCAAAATTGAAAATGAATTTTTTTTAGCTAGAGAATATATTAGTCCAAGGAAATAAAATGATTTAATACGGAATCATCCTCTCATAATTAAAATATAATAATGAGACACCGATAAAGAAGCAAGTTTATACAATGACTTTCTTGGTTTTATGAATCTCATAAGAAGTTATGTTATATCTTCAATCTCAATACAAAGATTATTACCTGGATGGTAGTCAAGGCAAGTAGACAAGAAACAACCGACATTGCAGTGCTCTGATGCCAGGGACGTCAAAGACTCACCAGAGCATTCCCTGAAGCATTGGGGAATACAAAATGGCGCTCCAATACACGCACAAGTTAGCTTGCACGACGCGGATGCCACGTCGACGTTGATGGATGACCACAGTATCAGAGCCGCCACAAGCATCATCGACCCCATTCTCTTGGATGCTATTACCTCCATGGCTATTCCCACTTAAACTATTTGTAACCTCTCTCTCTCTCTCTCTCTCACACAATGAGTTTTGATAGCTTTGTGAGCTAGAGCAGTGATGTGTTGAGATGAACAAGTGTGGCACATTTATATAAGGGTATGAAGAGGTGAAATGCTATTATTTTCATTTAATGAGAATATATGCTTGATATACCAATGATATCAATTTCTTACCGAATTTCATGGTCCAATAAAAAGGTGATGATAAGTTGCCATCTATTGCAAGAATTTAGTCTTATATGCGGGTATTTGTCAAATTTGATCTCATCAATAAGTTTCTTTCTAAATGACCCTAATTTTCTAAAATAAATTCAATTAATCCTTGACAAATTTACCAGATTCTAGTCTATAACAGAGCTCTTTGAGTAAGTCCCTTAAGCAAGTAGAGAAAGGCTTTTTTTTTTCTTTTTCAATCCTTGACACATCATCTTATCCTTTGAACACTATCTCATATGCATCATGGACTAAAATGATTTGATTTAACAAAACTAGGACTTTATTGATAGAGGCCCAAAAAATAATGTTGCATTTGTTCCCTAATTTGAGATGGCGCACGTCATTTTTTTTTCTTGGTATTCACATTGTGAAAGTCTTACATTAAGTAAATTTTCCTTATTTAATACAAAGTGATGAGCCAAACGAGGTAGCATTCAACGTGATTTGTCTCTTCAACTATGGTAATAAGCCGGGAGAAGAATAGCAGAAGTGCCAAAACTTGTGTACGACACTCACTTTAGTGCCAAAAGTTTCATTTGGATCACTTTAGTGCCAAATTTTTTGAAAAATGCTTATTTCAGTGCCAACTCTGATCAGTTTGGCCGGAAATCCGACGTGGCCTTTTTTTTATTAGTTTCTTAAGCCGATGTGGCTTGCCGGAGAGTCCAGTCAGCATCCCATCCCTAAAACGACGCAGTTTAGTGCTCTTTCCCCCCAAATAAGAACCCTAAATCCCCAAATTGAGAGAATCCCTCAATTTGCAACCCTAACCGGCTATCTTCTCCCCAATTGAAACCCTATTTTGATTCGCCCCCATAGTTACAAGCTCAATCTTGCAAATGGAGAGCAGCAGCGTCGGCAGCGACTCAAATTCGTTTCAACGAAGCGAACAAGAGGCCGAATGTTATTGTTTTTGCGGGTTGCCGAGTCCAATAAGAACATCTTGGACTCGGTTGAATCTCGGAAGAAGATTTAATGGTTGCGCCAGGTATAGAGAAAGCTCGAAGTGCAAATATTTCAAATGGGTTGATGCGAAATTCTCCGATCGAGCGACAAAGGTGATCTTGGAGCTACTTGAAGGACGCCATCAACGCCCACCTACATTAATGGATGAATTGGAGGATGTGGACTCAATGCAAGCTGAAATG